CTGAAGAAGTCTCTTGGAGGAGAGACGAAACGTTTCATTAGAGAAGAACCCGTCCAGAAGACCTATACAATTTTTTTCTTTTCTTTTTTTTTTTATATAATTTTGGGACTTTTAAAGGGCACACATATTTTAGGAGTAAACCTTGCGTTTGATGCCACGGTTGTTTCCTGTTAGGTGTTTTCTCGGGTCCTGACAACGCTCGTCTGGATGAGTTTTTGAAGGCTGCTGGCCTRTTAAGAGAACAGTTCAGATTTGCCCACATCACAGATCTGCAGATAGCCAAGGAGCACGTTAGCTCCGAGTAAGTTCACAGAGCAAATTTTAAAATTAGCATTAAAATTTGTGAGTTTTAAACGCGTGTTTCATCTTTTGTCCTTCCAGGAGTGTGTTGCTGTTCAGACCTCCTCGACTGGCCAGCACCTTTGAGGACAGTTTTGTTGTTTTTAAAGATYATCTGACTATCAGCTCTCTGAGGCGCTTCGTCAGAGATCACATGTGAGACTCYGATTTCATTTTACATCTGATGGACAGCAGAGGAACCACTGCCTCATTTTACCTCTCTGTCTGCGCAGCTTTGGTTTGTGTCCTCACATGACCATGGAGAACAGAGATCGTCTGAGAGTTCGAGACCTCCTGACCGCRTATTACGACTTGGATTATTATCACAATGTCCGAGGATCCAACTACTGGAGGAACAGGTAATACAAGGGTCGGCTTGTTTCCTGTACTGTAACACAGACTTGTTTATTTAATCCCGCCTCCTGCGTGACTGTCGCCAGAGTGATGAAGGTGGCATCCCAATACASTGGGCGTGGCTTAATGTTCTCAGTAGCCAATAAGAAAGACTTCCAAGCTGAGCTGGAGAATGACTACGGTCTGGGAACGTCGGATGGAGGAGAGCTGCCGTTCGTCACGATCCGGACCAAACTGGGCCACAAATATGTCATGAGAGAAGAGTTCACGTAGGTGTTGTGGTTCTTTTGGTGTTGATTAATTGTGTTATAATAACGACCGTGTTGTATTCAGATTTTTGGAATTGGTGTTGTTGTTTTTTTTTCAGGAGGGATGGTCAGTCACTGCTGAGGTTTCTAGAAGATTATTTTGCAGGTCGTCTCAAACGTTACGTCAAATCCGARCCCATACCTGAGAAGAACACCGCTGCCGTTAAAGTGAGATGAGTTGCAATGTAAACCTGACTCTGTTTGAACGATTCGTGTTTTTAAATGCAAAGAAAATACCTGTCGAGCAGGTAAAGATCTCCTGGCCTTGCTTTGACTGCAGGCTTTTGTGTGTTTTCTACACTGCAGGTGGTGGTTGCAGAGTCATTTGATGACATTGTTAATGATCCACATAAAGATGTTTTGATTCAGTTTTACTCTCCATCCTGTCCACACTGCAAGAAGTTAGAACCGGTCTACAAAGAGCTCGCTAACACGGTACGAGCTAATGTTGCYGAYTTCAATTWAAATGAACAAAACTGAACATTTTCTATCAGTCTCTGCCCTCAATCTTTTATATATTTAKATTGTGTGCAGGTGGGACATGTTAAGGCTGGTTATTTGTCACCAAAATGTAAAAATAAGTTTGGCTTTATTTCACAGTTGCTCATATACTGATGTTGAATCTGTTTTTTCTCAGTTGTATTCTGACCCAAAGATTATCATTGCCAAGATGAATGCTGTTGATAACGATGTCCCGCTGGGATACGATGTCCAAGGGTGAGGATGAAGATTTCATAAACAAACTTCAAAAACGATCACGTATTAAATATTTATTTTACATGGTTCTGTTTTTTTTCCCTTCAGCTTTCCAACCATTTATTTTGCTCCAGTTGGTAAAAAGGATGATCCCATAAGATACCAGGTAACTGGATGAGTTTTAATAGTTTTCTCTTATAACTGTGTTTAATGGTGGTGATGATGGAGAACAGAGATCGTCCGATAGATGTTTAGTGGTGGTTTGTCTATTGTTTGATTTCAGGGCACTCGAGAGCTCAAAGACTTCTTGAAGTTCCTGAAAAATGAAGCCAGTCACAGTCTAGTTCCCACCGGAGTGAAGGAAGAGCTGTGACATGTTCATTCACTGGTTCAAACTGACTACGGTCGATAAAACCACAATTTTTCTGTGATTAAAAACACAGACGTGAAGTGAAAGAAAGAGTCTTAGTCCTGCAGACACAACTTGAACCAGAACATCCACTAATTGATTATTCTAACAAACAGACTGATTTCAGTCAGTTTTTTTATATTAGTTYATCATGTCATATGTCCTCACTGAATAATTTATTTATTGATCTACTTATTTATGAAACCACCTGATGTGCACTGTTTTTATTTGTATTTATACAAAGTCATAATGTATCTTTTTATATTTATTGCAACATTTGTGCAATTTGTTGTCGGTGCTGTGTTGTACTTATTTATTTGAACTTTAGCAAAAACTTAATGTATTTTTTTTTTACAATTTTTGTGCCTTTTAATTCCAGAAGTTCTGCTGAGACTATTTAATAAAATAAGGCCTGACATTTGCTTGTTTGTTGAATTGTTTATGTAGCATCAATTTTAAAAAAAATTGCAAGTGCAAAAAAGAAAGAAATGGTGAAAAATATATGTTGTTTTTTTTAAATCTCAAGAATTTGATATCAAATCTGGAAGTTTTTCGCCATAAAGGTCGATAAAGCAGGCATTAACTCTATTGGTGAATGAGTATGCCAATCAAAAATAATGCTCTTTGCTGATTGGACATAATTCATGTAGTGTTCCATCCCTTTCTCCCGGGACCTCCCTCCTCGTGCCACCCCAGAACCTTCGAGGCTAGTGCTGTCCGTAAGGCGTTGTCAAAATGATCGGCCAGCAGGTTTTAGTGCTCAGTAAGTACCAAAAATTATTTTAAACTCAACCTTTAACACTCAAGTTTAAGTTAGTGGAAAATGKTTTATGCGGCTTTACCATATTTGTTACCGTTGTAGTTAGATCAGGCCGGCTCGGATACAATGCAGCTAAGCATGTGCTAACCAGGTTGCATGTGAAYTGCGGAGCATCCTACTAGCAAGTTKAGCTAATGCTACATGAGCTAACAAGCTAACCGGTWYAWTTAGCATCTTTAGCTCGCGCTCGGAAACACGAAGATTTTATGGGGATGCTAGGCTAATTGAGGCTATCTGTGCCCTATACTCAGCAAGAACATGCAGCTTAAAGGATAGGAAGCTGAACTAAATTTATRTCTGTGTCTGTTTTATATATAATATATAGCATGAGTCTGTGGTCAGTGTTTTTTATTGCTTTTGTGACTAGTATGTGTAGTTGAAATTATTTTTTATTAATTATTTTTATTTATTTTAGCAGACGTGTTAGCTGCGTAAAGACAGCAGCCAGGATGTGGTCTAAATAATTTTAAAAAAGTTATCAAACAATTATAAATTAATGGTCGTACATGTGAAATTAATTTTAAAAATGGGGTGGAAGACTTTAGATCTGCTATTTGTTGGATCTAAAAACACTTGTATCAGGGGGAAAAATGTCTGTTTTTGAATACATTTGTAAAAAGTATGTATTTTATTTTTTGCTGAACAAATAATTTAACTAGGGTATACTTTGAAGAAATAAATAAGAACCTAACCTAGCATACCTAAATAGGTTAGAAGAAGCAAAGTTTGCAGAGTAGCTTACGTTTAGTTAAAAAGATTATGCMTGTATGGGCTTTATTAATAATAATAGGGATGTATCTTTTGTTGTATTTAAGACTTTTGTTTGAATTTTCCTYCAGGATAAATAAAGTATTTCTGTCTATCCCTGGAGTACACAAGTTTCTCTATGAATAATACTAACTTCCTCTCTATTTGCTTRTTTCCCTACAGACCAGAACGTAAAGAGAGAGTCAGGACGTAAAGTTCAGACTGGAAACATCAATGCTGCAAAGGTTAGTTTAGGCTAATATATATATATTTCTCATATATCATTTGTGAGTACTTTCAGTAGTGAATAACCGGTAAAAAAAATATGTTTATTTCAGACCATTGCAGATGTGATCAGGACCTGCCTGGGCCCACGGGCCATGATGAAGGTGAGTTTTTTTCTTTCATGTTCAAAATATTCAGTAAGACATATGATGTTAAACTGTTAATATTTGTACACTAAATCAATAACATGCCACATTTTTGTATTGTTTTGTGCAGATGTTGCTCGACCCCACAGGAGGAATTGTGATGACGAATGATGGAAATGCCATTCTGAGAGAGGTCAGAGACACAAACGTGTTCATCTGTAAAGCCCACATATCTGTAACACTACTGTGAGTTACGTCTGTGGTTGTTTGCTAATCGCATGGACCTCCATGTCAACAGATTCAGGTCCAGCATCCCGCAGCTAAGTCGATGATTGAGATCAGCCGCACGCAAGACGAAGAGGTGGGAGACGGGACAACCTCGGTCATAATACTTGGTAAGAAGACATATTTTTCTTTTWTATTCTGAGAACTAACTTCTCATAGTCTAAAATTTGTCTTTCTGTGTCACATGTCTCAGCTGGAGAGATGTTGGCTGTGGCAGAACAGTTCTTGGAGCAGCAGATGCATCCAACTGTGATCATCAGCGCCTACAGACAGGCTTTGGAGGACATGTTGGAAACCCTGAAGGAAATCAGGTATATTCTGACACATTTTAGTRTTGAGGTTAACCTGGGGTTTTGGCAACTATATCAGCAGTTTATTTAAACAAAAAAAWWTTTCAAAAGGGATTCACCACATGTAACTGTACTGAAAGGTGTTTTTAAGTCTCTATAAGTTTAACGTTGTATTCTCTCTCCTCCAGCACCCCTGTGGACACCTCAGACCGGTCTATGATGCTGAAGATCGTTCACTCTGCCATCAACACCAAAGCCATCAGCCGCTGGTCAGAGCTGGCCTGCAGCATTGCACTGGATGCTGTTCGCACAGTGGAGCTGGAAGAAAATGGACGCAAAGAGATTGACATCAAAAAGTACGCCAAGGTGGAAAAGGTACGGCTGTTTGTCCTCCTGCACCTGGTTGTTACACCTGAATGCTTTTTTTTTTTTTTACGGCTTCAAATAAATTAAGAAATCACATTAGAAGAACTGTTTGAAAGGTAATTCTGCGTTCAGGTTCCAGGTGGGATCATTGAGGACTCGTGTGTGCTGAAAGGAGTGATGGTGAACAAAGACGTGACTCACCCCAGGATGAGACGAATGATCAAAAACCCTCGTATCATCCTGCTGGACTGCTCTCTGGAGTACAAGAAAGGGGAGAGCCAGGTACGATATTTTCAAAATAAAAGCTGTTAAGGAACAGACCTCTAAGATCATGGTTCCAGAAAGGGGTCTCTAATGCACAACATTTCCTGCAGACTGACATAGAGATCACAAAGGAGGAAGACTTTGCCAGGATTCTGCAGATGGAGGAAGAATACATCCAGCACATCTGTGAGGACATCATCCGCCTTAAACCGGACCTGGTTTTCACAGAGAAAGGCATTTCAGGTATCTAAACCTGAAACAAACCAACCAAACAAAAGCAGCATGAACACGTTTCCACCAGTGTTTAACAGATCAGACCTGATGGGTTTTATTTATTTATTTATTTATTTATTTTTTCAGATCTGGCCCAGCACTACCTGGTGAAGGCAAACATCACCGCCATTCGCCGTGTGAGGAAGACTGACAACAACCGCATCGCCAGGTACGCCACTTTGTTACACAGGATGCTGTGATGAGACGCCGGAAGCGTTATYGTGTCTTTAACCAGCTGTCTCGTTTCAGGGCGTGTGGAGCTCGCATCGCGAGTCGGACAGACGAGCTGCGCGAGGAAGACGTCGGTCTGAAGGCCGGTCTGTTTGAAGTCAAGAAGATTGGAGACGAGTATTTCACCTTCGTCACAGAGTGTAAAGATCCCAAAGCCTGCACCATCCTGCTGAGAGGCGCCAGCAAGGAAATCTTGGCGGTGAGGGCGACGTCCAGCTGACGAGTCGATCGGACGAATCTGTTCAGTGTTTTAATGTCGTCTGTGGTCCGTCCGCAGGAGGTGGAGAGGAACCTGCAGGACGCCATGCAGGTGTGTCGCAACGTGCTGCTCGACCCGTTCCTGCTCCCAGGGGGTGGCGCTGTGGAGATGGCCGTGTCCAAGCGACTGACGGAGCGTTCCCGCTCTCTGACGGGCATCGAGCAGTGGCCGTACCGCGCTGTGGCCCAGGCCCTGGAGGTCATCCCCCGAACCCTGATCCAGAACTGCGGCGCTTCCACCATCCGAGTGCTGACGTCCCTTAGGGTAACACAAAGCTCTCTTTAGCCGTCACGTGTTGTGTTTCGTTACTATAATGCTTCTGTTTGTGTGTGTGTTCAGGCCAAACACACTCAGGACAACAGTGTGAACTGGGGTGTCGATGGAGAAACCGGCTGTTTGTCTGACATGACGGCACTCGGCATCTGGGAGCCACTGGCTGTTAAATGTCAGACCTACAAGACTGCTGTGGAGGTCAGGACTTCAATCACACTGATCAGTTTGCAACAATATGATCAATACTGTTTGTTACTAATACTGAAGGGACTTTGTGTCATTCCTTTCTGTTTTGCAGACGGCCATCTTGCTGCTGCGTATCGACGACATTGTCTCTGGTCATAAGAAGAAGGACAAAGAGGAGAATATGGGAGGACAAGGAGCCGAATAGGTTTTGTTAGATCCATGTCGAGAAACAGAGTCACTCCAACTGTTTGTATTTGAATGTGTGTCCAAGTGCATGTGTGTGAGTGTGCATGTGTGGGGACCATCTGACTCAAAACTTAATAAAGACAAAGTTAGAAAATTGGACTCTTGTCTCTACTTTTATTTGTTTAAGTGTTCATTTTTGTGTGGTAAGGAAGCCTAAAGCTGTTCAGTATTATCTAAAGACAAAACTTAGATGTCAGCATGAGAAAAAATAGTTTCTCTGAAAACTGTTGGTGCAGTAGTCAAAGATTGTTGTTTAAAGGGAAAACATTTCTACTACGATTATAATCATAGTTTATCCTTACAAAAATCTAAAAGTAGTTGAAATTTTTACATTTTAAATTAAAACATAAAAAATGTAATGTTAATCATTTTAAATTGCATTTTAAAGTTGTACCTATACGTTTAATTGGTTATTTTCCTGAATAAACACACTGGGTGGGCGTGGCCTCAGCGGTCACCTGACACGAACGAGGAGAATCAYGTGACCCGCAGTAAAACAAAGATGGCGTTGACAGTTAAAGAAAGCGTCGAAGTTTGTGTGTTTTTAATTTTTTTAGTTCTTAATTCGTGCCAGAGTTTGTTCGGTGGAGGAACGTCTTTCAAAAGACAGGTGAGGAAACAAAAATAAGACAAAAATATTTTCAAATAAACTCCGAAAAAGACTAAAGAGGAAACCGGAAGTGAAAGTGTTGATCGAACATGAACTCTTAAAATCTTTTTTCCTTTGCTTGTTTTGTGAAATTTCGTATTCTTCCCGTTTGTAATTTGTTTTAGACAGCTGAATTTATTTGCTAATTACTTTTTGGTTGATAAAAAAATCACCATGAAGGATGAAAACAAGCTTTTTCTATTTCTGCAGACTTTGCTCATTGGTAGACAAATGTGATTTTTCTTTGTACACTTCAACATATAATTTCTTATATAATCCTAATCTAAAAAAYGTAGATTGTTAGTATCATAACATATTGTATAAAGCAGTTGAAGTGCCTTCAGATTATTGTAACTACATTTTATATTAGAAAACTAACCTTAGACTACAAATTATTATTTTTAATTGTAATTGCTTCAAGTTTTCAGTTAAGATGCTCAAACTTAAACCTGAAGATGTATTTTACTTTTTTAACTTGATTTATGTTCAAAGTGAAAATAATAGCAATGTTATTCATTAAATTAAAACTTAGTGGTTTTAAACTCTCCTAAGCTATAAAAACTAGTTTTGTCTGCACAAAATTAATATGTTGTTTTTATAATTAGTCTTTTATTCTCTGTAGTCTAGGTCAAAAAAATCAGAAACATGATTGCACAAATAAAGTATTTCAAGAATTATCAATAATCTAATCAGAGAAAGGCGACAGATTAATTCTGTTTTGTTTTCAGTGGAACAGTTGGCAAGATGTTGCTTTGATTACTGCTGATTTGCAGATTTTGATTGTTGGTCTGTGTTTCAGCTGTCGGTGCAGTTGAATCCAGACGCGAAGCTGCCTCCTTCTGATTTCGACCTGCTCCACATCAGAGCTGTGGGAGAAAACGACACGCTGCACTACTTGCTCTGCAGCCAGGGAGCGCCGACGCTGCTGCTCGTCCACACCGACTCTGTTTCTTCCACTGTCAAGGTCTGTTTACGTTTTAGTTGGAGATAATTGTCAGGAATAATAGTTTTATTTTTTTAGGACAGGAAAAATCTATTCTTTTAATTTTGGATTGTTTGACATGTTTTGTTGTTTGTTTCGACTTTCAGGTGAACTGGACCCAGCCTTTTAATGCCAGCGGCAGCGTGACAGTGGAGCCGACGAGCAGCGTCCTGTACAGCTCTGCCGTCGTCTTCAGTCAGGTCAGAAACCGGCCCACCTTCAGTCTTTAAAGACAAACCCTGGTGCGTGTTTTTAGGTAACACTTTCGTTGTGTCTCGCAGCTGTGGGAGTACGACGACGTCAACGACACGGCCGAGGCGTCGTCGGACTTCTTCCCTCCGTACGAGCTAAAGGACTTCACCTGGGCTCACCTCAACCTGTCTGGAGCAACGGCTCTGCTCTGTGGAACMCCACCGGGTTCCACCAACGGATCGCTCTGCCTACAGGTTCGTTATCACAGTGACGTCTATAAGAAGGTTGGCCTACAATCACTTCTGAGACGTATAGCTTTTATTTTTCCTTTCAAGTTGTCAGCGTTCGACTCAGACGGGCGTGGCGACCTATGGCCCCGCCTCCTGCATTCTGCCAACTCCTCCCAGTTGGAGGTGTGGCTTAACGGCTTGTTGCCGCGGGGGAATCACTCCAGGTTCGTGTTGGAGCTGGAGGCAGTGAGCGGGGCGTTTCCTCTGAGCAGGGTGGACGTTCACCAGTCCATCGACGACGAATWCACACCGTCAATATTCAAGGTAATCATCAAACAAGAGATTTTCTTAGTTTTGTTTCTTTAGCTTAGAAATTGCTGAATTTATGAGCTCCTGAACTTTTCAACACGTATTTAAAGAAAGTAACAATGAGGCAGACTGTGACTGGTTGAAACATTTAAATTAAAGAGATCTAGGCTTTAAACCAGGACTTCTAATGTTTAAAGTGCCTGTGACATGAAATAAAATAAATACAAAGGCATTATTGGAAAGATAACATCAAAAACATATTGTGAAAATAAATTCTCGCTGCTGATATGAATAGTTACCGAGATACTTGCATTTGAAGTAACAGGAAGTGATGTCCAAGGGGAATGTCTGCATGGATTAGAGCATTGATAAAATAGCTAAGAACACAGACTGTAGAGAAGAATTTGATGTTTTTTTAAGATTATTTTGAGTCACTATCAGAGATGAAGAAGTTTAAATAATATAATTTCAATAAACAAAGACCAGAGAGTTCTCTTTCTTTAAATAGTTCCCCTTTGATGTCACTTCCTGTTTCACTTTGGCTCAGCCAAGCTCTAAAGAAAATATGCCGGTTGTGGGACAAAATGGGTAAAAATCAAGTTTTATGCAATGTTTCTTATATAAAAATGTGTTTTCTTTGACTTTTTGTACTTGATGTATAGGTATGTCACGGGCACTTTAGAGTTTAGCTTTATTTGTAGGAGAATTTAGATGTTTTCATGTTTCTGTTTCCCCTCCAGATGTTTCAGTGGGTGTCGTCGACGAAYGTCAGCTCGGACGTTCTGGGCTTTGTCCAGTGGAAGCCCGTGGCRTACCGCGCGTCTCATCCGGTGCTGGAGGATGCAACGCCGTGCCGTCACTCTGACCCGCGGTCGCAGAGCGGCCCGGAAACGACAGCTTCGTCCGGTCTGATTCGGGCCTTCTACTCGGATCCAAAAGTCACGGGACTGAACGTGAGCTTCGGTCTGGCAGGAGAACCTTTCTACAGCAGCACCATGTTCCTCAGCTGGTTCGTTCACTTCATCACGTCTTCATTAAATAAGATATTTTTTATTTTTTCAATGATTTTGTGTGTTTTTCGTCTCAATCAGGACGATGCTGGTGGGTGTCGGCTCGCCCCCCGTAGAGTTCTTCTCCCCTCTGGTTCTCTCCATCATGGTGGTGTGTTTGGGGACTCCTGTGGTCCTGCTGCTGCTGGGCGGAGTCGTTGTCTTCATCTATAAAAAGAGGAAAGCTTCGACGACGGCCTACCAGCCAATCAACTGACAGCTGAGTCCCGGCTGAGGAAAAACTTTTTAGAAAAACTTGACACCACTGTGAAAGTCCGAAGTTTTATTAACATGGATTTTAACTTGTCGGAGCAGTAATTCAGGTAACTTTTCATTGAGTTTAAAACTCAAATCAGTGATAATTGTTAGATTAAATCAGCCGGACTGTTTTTTTTTTTAACTAATAGATATTCAGATGATAGGTATTGTTCTATTTGAATGGTTTTTTTAATGTTAAGAATTCCATTACATTTTTTTAAACAAAGTGCTGTTTTAACTCTAATTTATTACACTTATCTACTGAAGAGACCTCGTTTTTCCCATGTGAGAAGCCCTTTTTATTCAGCTTTCTGTTTGTTTTCATTAAACTGCAGGAAATGTTGCATCTGGAGGGCAGCAAATAAATTTACATTTATTGTTTGAGGCAATTTTAAAGTGTATAAAACATTATATGGTATTTTATTGTTTATAAAACTGTTTTAATCTGTTATTTTGGACACGATGTCACAGAATGATGGACTGAAAACTGTGACATCACTTATTTAGGCAAGAGCTCAAACTAAGGAGGTTTTTTTATTAGCATTTTGCTAATACGCTCACGTTTGTTTCCATCGTTTTCAGTTAAGATGCTCAGCTTAAATTAGCATGAATAAAATTTGAGATTATTTCACTGATTGTTTTTTTATGTCATTAGTTTTCTAAAGTGGTTTAAATGTAGGCTAAATGTTAAAAAGTTTCCACATTTCATGATTGTTGCAGATTTTACTTTATAATCTAAAAGATAAAAAGTTTGTCGATGATCCAAATAATTGAAATTAAAATGCAGCTCAGGCTAATCTTATGGATATATCCTCAAAGTAAAAGTAAAGCAACGATCAAGCTACCAGTAATTATGTTTTAAAGACACATAATTTATTTAGTTTAAGTACAGTAGTTCTTTTAATTCTGGTTAATGTTCGTAAACATAAATCTTGCTTATTTAATGTGTGAATAAGTCCAGACTGCTGGTTTCTCTTGTTTATTTTGTCAGAAACTTCACAGAGAAAAAAAAAAAACTTATTTACAGTAAAATCATCTGAACTCTGCTGCTTTGTTTAAACACAACTGGACATATTTTACACAAGATGAAACATCAGCTGAACGAGCCTGAAGCTCCGACACAGAAACACGATGACCTCGCTGCTGGACGAGCCAACGTTCAGATACTGGARCGGTTTGTGTTCAGTTTGACGCAGCAGCCAATCAGAGAGCAGCGAGAAGGGATTGAACCAATCAGAAGGTTTTAGTTGAATTGTTTTTTTTTTTTTTCAGAAAAGGAGACTTAAACCATAAAAACAAAACCCATCGGTGATATATTTTAAACCACAGACTGGATATAAAGATGAATGTTGGGKAAAAAATGAAGTTTTTAACAGAAACCTGCATCGCTGCCTTCTGTAAGTCCTGTTTCTGAAATCCTAACGCTGCTTTCAAGCTGCTGAACAACAACACACTCCTGGTCGGTGTGACGTCAACAAAAGTTTTTCATTTCACTTTTCAGTCCGTTCAGGTCCATTTGTTTCTTGCCATTTCAACTTTCCTCAGTTTATATTTAAACTTTTAGCACTAAAATATATATTTTACAGTTTGTTGCAATTAGTGGTAAGAACTTTTCTGGTTTTAGTTTGTTTTGGATTTTTAACAGGAAATAAAATTGGGGGTGAAGACGAAACGTCTTGTATTAAATAAGTGTTGAAAACATCCACGAGTCCAGTTCTTCGCAGGTTTTTTTTGATCTCAGTCCAAACTCTGAGGCTGAACCATTTCAGCTCCACCTGCTGTTTAAAATACCGCTGCAGGATAAAAAAAAACAGGCGAGGTCCTCGTTCTAGATGGATTCAATCTGCCGGCGGACCTTCTCCGAGGCGAGCCGGTCCAGCTGGCGCTGACGGATCACCACCAGGACGGCGAAGAGAGCCGTCAGAGCCAACATGGCCGCCTCGAACTTCCAGAAGAGATGCTCCTCCATCAGAGCTGAGCGGCAGCTGGTGGGACAGGAGAACAGTTAGCGCCTTCGACCTGAACCGAATTTACCAAACTCCCTCCTCCACAAACCTTTTGTACTCTTCCTTGTTGGACTTGGTGCAGCTGACTCTCTCGATGTATCCCGTCTGTCTGCAGGCCAACTGCGTCTTCTGAAACAATAATTCTCTACGTCAGCGTCAGTCTGCAGAGACCAGACGTGCTTTTTTTTTTCTGAAACGGCGGTCTCTTACAGAGATGAAGTCATTGCAGCGGACGCACGGCTCYGACACCACGAACTCCTCTGTGAGCCAGCAGGGAGTGACAGCAGGCTTCAAAGCTGCTGCAAACATCAGAAAGCAATGTTTATTTACAGCTTTTCAGCTCACTAAGCAGTTTGTGTTTGGAGGYTTTATAAAGCTGGATGTACCTGTAGTTTTCTCTTCATTTCGCAGAGATGCTCCGTACACTCTGCAACACCAAAACAGTCTTTCAGTTAAGCAGGAAATTACTATCAGTTCTGACAAACAACAATTTCACTAAGTTCTGAGAAACTGCTCTGACCCCGCTGCCCACAGACTCACCCGAGCGAGACGAGGACCCAGAACAGAGCGTGGAGGAGGAGAGCGCGAGGCCGACAACAAGCCAGCGGGATCCGGCAGTCGCTCTCCATTCTCCCACAGCACGGTGACGCCACAGCCACAGGTTACGGACTCGCACCCCACTGGTTCTGGACCCGACGGGACCCGGTGCAGGCTGACTCTCTGATCGTTTCCTGTCGGTCCGCTTACATGGTGCTCAGGTGGAATGAAGGGATTTAAGGCAACGAGCAGCTGAATCCTGAAAGGTAAAACAACATTTTACTTGTTAATCAACATCGTTACTCAGCGTCAGAT